GCCAGAAGTGATGGGAATTCTCTTCTTGGCACTGGAACCCTGAGCTGGTGGCCTGGTGTGGGATCGGGACCCCTCACTCCTCAGGGAGGACCTTCCCAGCCGAGGTGTCCTCCTGATTTTTATCTGCCACACGTGGGTGTGGGACCAGCCCGTCCGCCTCCGCCCCTCCTACCAGTCTCCATGTGGCTGCTGCTTTAATTCCGTAGTTGTAGGACTTCCATTCAGCTCAATTTCAGGTGGTTCTGAATGATGGTTGTTCTGTAGTTTGGTTGTAATTTTGATGTGGATGTGGGAGGAGGTGATACTGCGTTTACCTACCCGCCATCCTGACCAGAAGTCCTCAAATGCCATGTATTTTAGTAGGAGCCAGGCAGCTGGGAGTGTGGGAACACAGACGACTTAACCTACATACAGGCCAGAGATGGGCCTTAGAGAGAAGTGAAGGTAGATCATATATCTTCTAGGAGAAATACGGGATTTTGAACAACACTGAAGTTTAGACAGCAGAGTGGCTGTCTGAGTCAGAATTCTTGCTGTTAGAGGGAGGACGAGAGGAGAGGAATGTGTTCTGCTGAGGTCTGTGCAGCAAGGACTCTTCGGCAGCCCATCTGGAGTCTACTCGTTAAGCGGTTATGCCACGAGGTGGTCTTTTCACCAGCATATGTCTCTTTGAAGGGTCTGTAAATCCTGGATTCTGTACAGAAAATAGAGAGATGAACCATCATGAAATTATATAATGATAATATGCCACATGCTTTTAACACAAAATATTCCAGGTAGGCCAACCAGTTGGTCAGATAAAAAAAGCAGTGTAGTCTATGGGAGTTGTGGCATTCTGATCCTCAATTTGGGGTCATCTGACTTCTCTGTCCTTGGGGCTCCCACTCACAAAGTATCTCCAGTGGGGCTTTTCCTGTGGTTGTTACCTTGAAAATACCTCTTGAGCCTGGGAGCAACTAAAACTGAGGAGCTTACACAACAGGTCCAATCCAGGATTTGCTTTGACCAAATAAAAAACTCCTAGAACTGTAAAGAACCTAATAATTCACCAATTCAAATTCTTCTTTCATTTTTGAACATGAAAAGAACCCCTCAGGTTTAGGGAAGTAACATTTTCAAGTTCACAAAGTAGGTCATTAGAAAGTCAAGAAACCTAAGGCCCCCTGATTCCCAGGTGGTTTTCACATGGTCCTAAAGGTAGACAAGGGGTTGGCCATCACCTTTATTATTACCTAAAACACAGCCTTGTATGTGTGTGTGTGTGTGTGTGTGTGTGTGTGTTTTTCTTATCTTTAAAAGATGTAAACCTATATGGTATTGAAAGAGAAGGGTAGCATTCTCTTATACACCTGGAGAATACACTCCTTAAAGCGTTATGACTTTATACAGACTGATTATTTGTAAACCCTGTGGAGTTGAAGCCTAGTTGTAATGGGCCAGGGTCCTGAGCAATGGGAAGTAGTGAATGGACTATTTTGAGTGTATCTTGAAGAAGAGTAGTTTTGCTTTAATCAGACTGATGAATTGTGTGGGCTGAGGTGAGCACACACAGAAATGTTCATTAGTAACCTATGGAGATCCCTTTATGTCTAGAGCAAAGGTTTTAGAAACAAGAACATAATAATTAAAGAGGAAGGTAAATGCTGAATACAAGTAGTGAAAAGGGTTTTAGTCTTTTAAACCAGGAGCCAGAGAGTTATAGTTCTCTGATATCTCAGAAAGCCATCCATGCTGGACTAGGGATCGAAGCTGGTTAGAAATAGGTGGATGGTGTGGGGGATGCAGAGTGTGTGCTGAAGAGCAAGGGTCTTAGCTAGCTGGGGAAGAATTTTTGAATCAGTCAGGCAAGTAAGGCTTGGACTTTTTGCCTAGAATGGAAGAATCCAAACTATGTAATCTTGGTAGGTACCCTCTACTCCCGCCAAACTAGATAAAATGGGATTTTTTCTTCCTCTCTGGAGGCATGCATTTGGTAATCTGTACATATATATGTCCTCAGTCCATATATGTTGATCACCTGTGATAAATGGGTTAATTATGTACAGGCCATGTCTGGAAGTCTGCTGCTATCACAAAGGTTTATATAAAATAACATATATATTAATGTGGTAAAATATGCATAACAAAAATTGCCAATTTAATCATTTTTTCAGTGTACAATTCAGTACTTTTAAGCACATTCACAGTATTGTGCAACCATCACTACTATCTCTTTCCACGACTTTTTTTTATCATCCCAAATAGAAACTCTGTACCCATTAAACACAAACACCTCATTTTCTCCTCTCCCCAGCCCCTGGTAACCTTTCATCTATTTCCTGTTTCTGAATTTGCCTATTCTAGATAGTTCATATAGGTGAAATCATACAATATTTGGCATTTTGTGTCTGTATTATTTCACTTAGCATAATGTTTTCAAGGTTCACTCATATTGTAGCATTTATTTAAACCAAATTCCTTTTTATGGCTGAATAATATTCATATATATGTATATATGTGTGTGTGTGTAATTTTGTTTATCCATTCACCAGCTGATGGCCATTTAAGCTGTTTCCACCTTTTGGCTACCATGAATAATGTTACAATGATCAGTGGTGTCCAAATGTCTGTTTGAGTCTCTGTTTATGTCTTTCAGTATATATCTAGAAGCAGAATTCCTAGATCACATGGGAATTATACGTTTTGGAGGAACTGCCAAACTGGTTTCCACAGTGGCTGTACCATTTTAAATTCCCACCAGCAATGTGTAACAGCTTATTTCTATTTTTTATATATGTATCAGGCAAGAGTTTGTTAGAAAAACAGAAGCCACGCTATATGTTCTGGATATAAATGGTTGAAAAGGAAATTTTAATCTTACTCATAAGTTGAAAGACTTAGGGAAGTGAAGATCAGAGAAACTGATGCCAAAGATTTGGGTGAGCTGTCCCAGGAAGTCAAGGAGTTGACACCAAGCTGGTTCTCAAAAACTTGCCTGGAGTCCTTGAGACTCTCCGAGAAACTCCTACCAAATGACTCAGTCTGCAGTGATGGAGATCTTACCAGAAACCCATGAGGAATCTCTCATCTGCTCACACATCTGGCTGTAACTGTTTCTGAAGACTGATGGCTCCCATTTGCTCTCTGTCTCCCAAATCTCATGCGAGTTGGTTTTTCTTTCATTGGAAGGTGAACTCGGAACCATCCAGAGATGAGGGTCTAAGGGGGGTAGTTGCCATTCTTAGAAGAAAGAAGTGGTGAAGCCAGTTGTTGACAGATAGACCAGTACAAGTTACACTCTCCTTTATTGCAGAAAAGATTACAGGTGGTTTATAAAGATGTATAAAATTGGACCAATTGATATAAATTCAAATGAGAGCAAATGAAGACAAAAAAAAAAAAAAAGCAGAAAGAGTGAAATGGAGCTGGAAGGAAGGCTAAGCATGCCCCGGCCATCTCGCTCCCCAAGGGTGGCCTCACCTACAGAAAGCACTCTCTCTAAAAGCACAATCCCCAGTGGGGGGCGTGCAGGAGGCACCAATCAATATTCACTCTCATTGGTATTTCTAGATATCTCTCTCTTTTCCTCTCTCTCTAACATCAGTAAAGAAAAAAAATTTTTAAAAAGAAAAGAAAAATGTTCTTAGGGTGTTAAGCTCAGACAAGAACCTCTCTCAAGCGACAAGAAGTTTTACCCTGAAGAGATCAAGTAGAGACCATAGCCATGGGGTGGGTTTTGGGAAGTAGCAGTTGGCTGTTCTTAGAAGTACATCATAAGAGTTGTAAATGCTGTTAAGTTGATCTCCTGTTATGGACTAAATTGTGTTTCCCCCCAAATTTAGTTGAAGTCCTAACCCATAGTGCCTCTGAATGTGACTGTATTTGAAGATGGGGTCTTTAAAAAGGTAATTACATTAAAATGAGGACATTGGGGTGGGCCTTAACCCAAGACGACTGGTATCCTTATAGGAAGAGGAAACTATGACACAGACAAGGACAGAGAGAAGGCCATGTGAGCACACAGGGAGAAAACAGCCATCTGCAAGCCAACGAGAGAGGTCTCAGAAAAAACAACCCAGCCAACACCTTGATCTCAGACTTCCAGCTTCCATAATTGTGAGAAGATAAATTTCTGTTATTTAAGCATCAAGTCTAGATAGTTTGTTATGGCAGCCCAAGCAACTTCATACACCCCATCTCTGAAATGGGCATCATTTACTGAGGTGGGGTGTGTGTCTAGGATTCCTTGGGGAGACACTGTCTTTAGTTTCTAATTTGACAGATGTTTATGTAGAACCATCCAGGCCTCTGTGCGGGGCCTAAAGGAATACAAACACGAAAACGACAGTCTCGGGCCTCGGGACGCTTACAACCAGGCCAGATAACTCCCGGGAAAGCACAAGTAGAGGAAAGTGCTGTGGGAGCAAAGATGAGGAAGTGGGGTACAGGGAGGTTTCTGAGGGGGGGCAATCGTCTGACTTGGATCTGAAAGGGGAATGAGAAGAAGGGCTTTCTAAGTGTGTGTGTGTGTGGTGGGCATGTGTGTGGTTTGCATGCAGTGCGGTGTGTGTGTGGTGGGCATGTGTGTGGTTTGTATGCAGTGTGGTGTGTGTGTGGTGTGCATGCGTGTGGTTTGTATGCAGTGCGGTGTGTATGTGTGTGAGTGTGTGTGTGACGGGGCAGTGAGTATCTGTGGGGATAAAGCTCTGAATGTCTCGGGGATCACCCCCCCCCCCCGTCAGGTGCTGCGGGCAGGCGTGTGGGTCATTTGGCTGGACTCTAAATGGTTATGGTTGGTTGGGGGTAAGTTGAGGATCAGAAATGTGTACTTGTTTCAAGCTATGTGTCAAAATCCTGTCTTGCTTTGGGTGACAGGGTTATGCCCTCTGACTTGAAATGGGTAGAAGTGGAAACGGGAACAGGCAGGAGAAACTCCAAAGTGTTTAGTCATCTGTTCAGGAAAGTGCCTCCGCCCCTCAGTGACGGCGGGAATTCCTTGGACCTCTCGCCCGAACTGAGTGATGAACAACAGGCTGGGAGTTTATGGGCTAAGCTGGGACAGTCAGACACAATTCGCAGGGGCCGAGGACCTCTTCGAGCAGTCACATGGCCACGTTCAAGGGCTGTGTGGGCCCCCGCCTGGCACTGGTCCGAGACTGGGCTACCGTCTTCTTTGTAACTCCAGGTCAGGCCGGGTACCAGGCTGCACGGCACGCGGAGTCCGGGTGCTCAGCCCTCCCGGGCCCCGCTCCTGCCGGCCTTCGGGGCCTCCTCCGCGAGTCTCACTGCCCCGGGCCCCGCTCCTGCTCCTGCCGGCCTTCAGGGCCCCCTCCGAGAGTCTCACTGCCCCGGGCCTGCTCCTGCGGGCCTTCGGGGCCTCCTCCGCGAGTCTCACTGCCCCGGACCTGCTCCTGCGGGCCTTCGGGGCCTCCTCCCGAGTCTCACTCCCCCGGGCCTGCTCCTGCGGGCCTTCGGGGCCTCCTCCGCGAGTCTCACTGCCCCGGGCCTGCTCCTGCGGGCCTTCGGGGCCTCCTCCGCGAGTCTCATTCCCCCGGGCCTCCTCCCGAGTCTCACTGCCCCGGGCCCCGCTCCTGCTCCTGCCGGCCTTCAGGGCCCCCTCCGAGAGTCTCACTGCCCCGGGCCTGCTCCTGCGGGCCTTCGGGGCCTCCTCCGCGAGTCTCACTGCCCCGGACCTGCTCCTGCGGGCCTTCGGGGCCTCCTCCCGAGTCTCACTCCCCCGGGCCTGCTCCTGCGGGCCTTCGGGGCCTCCTCCGAGAGTCTCACTGCCCCGGGCCTGCTCCTGCGGGCCTTCGGGGCCTCCTCCGCGAGTCTCACTGCCCCGGGCCCCGCTCCTGCTCCTGCCGGCCTTCAGGGCCCCCTCCGAGAGTCTCACTGCCCCGGGCCTGCTCCTGCGGGCCTTCGGGGCCTCCTCCGAGAGTCTCACTGCCCCGGACCTGCTCCTGCGGGCCTTCGGGGCCTCCTCCGCGAGTCTCACTCCCCCGGGCCTGCTCCTGCGGGCCTTCGGGGCCTCCTCCGCGAGTCTCACAGCCCTGGACCCCGCTCCTGCGGGCCTTCGGGGCCTCCTCCGCGAGTCTCACTGCCCCGGACCCCGCTCCTGCGGGCCTTCGGGGCCTCCTCCGAGAGTCTCACTGCCCCGGACCTGCTCCTGCGGGCCTTCGGGGCCTCCTCCGCGAGTCTCACAGCCCTGGACCCCGCTCCTGCGGGCCTTCGGGGCCTCCTCCGCGAGTCTCACAGCCCTGGACCCCGCTCCTGCGGGCCTTCGGGGCCTCCTCCGAGAGTCTCACTGCCCCGGACCTGCTCCTGCGGGCCTTCGGGGCCTCCTCCGCGAGTCTCACAGCCCTGGACCCCGCTCCTGCGGGCCTTCGGGGCCTCCTCCGAGAGTCTCACAGCCCTGGGCCCTGCTCCTGCGGGCCTTCGGGGCCTCCTCCGAGAGTCTCACAGCCCTGGACCCCGCTCCTGCGGGCCTTCGGGGCCTCCTCCGAGAGTCTCACTGCCCCGGGCCTGCTCCTGCGGGCCTTCGGGGCCTCCTCCCGAGTCTCACTGCCCCGGGCCCCGCTCCTGCGGGCCTTCGGGGCCTCCTCCCAAGTCTCACTCCCCCGGGCCTGCTCCTGCCGGCCTTCAGGGCCTCCTCCGAGAGTCTCACTGCCCCGGGCCTGCTCCTGCGGGCCTTCGGGGCCTCCTCCGCGAGTCTCACTGCCCCGGGCCCCGCTCCTGCGGGCCTTCGGGGCCTCCTCCGCGAGTCTCACTGCCCCGGGCCTGCTCCTGCGGGCCTTCAGGGCCTCCTCCGCGAGTCTCACTGCCCCGGGCACTGCCACCGACTCTCCCTCTGACCGAGGACTCTCAGGAACAGACGCTGTTTTACAAACCAGCCAGTGGGGATGGCTGAACACATGGCTGCGGTGTTTGTTGGGCTGCAGTCCCTCTGAGGGAAGAGAAAGCGAAGGCCGGCCACCTGCACCCAGGGCATCTCAGTGGTGAGTCCTGGGCCGCGAGTTGGTCTGAAACACCTGACAGCGCCCCGAGGCCAGGAGGAGCCGCAATCGAGGGGTGACTGACGCGGTAGAGACACAGGGGCGATTTCTCATCGCTGTCACTGTGCCCCAGAGAAGAGAGGTGGGGCCTCATTCCACCCCCACTCCCAGCACCTGTGCAGCCGGGGTCGGTCACTCCGTCTGAGGATGGAAATGACACCTTCCTGACAGGTAGACAAAGGGCTGGAGAGCATCTCTGAGGCTCCTCCCAGCTCTGCGGAATTTGGGTCTACAAATTATACTCACTTTTCTTTTTTGAGCAACTGACTCTTGGTGCACTCTGATTTGGCTCCTGAGAGATGACAGGTATTATTCAGAACCAAAAAAGATACCATCCCTTTCTAATGGGAAATGGAAGGGGTCTGAGGGTATGCCAAATGAGCGCGGGAGGAAGAGGAGAGGGGAGAGAAGGAGAGAATCGGGGGAGGAGAGAGGAGATCCGGGCAAAGGTGAAGGGAGAGGGATGAAGAGGAGAGGAGGAAAGAGAGAGGAAGAAAAAACACCCTCGTCCCTAACGAGGCTTGTCTGGGTTGGGCAGTTTGAAAGATGAGCACTGGGCTGGTCAACATGAGGGGTCTCACTCAGTCTCTATCAATTGCTGAGCTGAGAACACTGTTTGCAGATATGTGCTCTGGGTCCCAAGGAGATGCCAAGGGGAGAGCTCCGATGTCTTTATTCAAATTCAATCCCAATGCCAGAGAAGCAGCTCAGATTACATCCCAGCACGGTCCTGAGTCAGTGGTTCTATCTCAATAGGAGTGATAGCTTCTATTTATTGAACAGCCATAATGAGCTAGAACCTGTCTTCAGCTTGTTAATAGGCATTGTTACCTCATTTAGCCCTATAAGGTAGGTACAGTTATTTTCCCCATTTTAGATCTGGCTTGGCAAGTAACTAATCTTGAAGTCACTTAGCTAATAAGCAGTGACACCTAGGTCCAGGCTTGCTGACCCCAGAGCCCACACCATTACACTATTATACACTCTGGGCTCCCTGAACAAGAATCTTTGTCTCCTCAGGGCCAAACCCAAGCCAGACACAACCTAAGTGCTCACTGAATGAATGAATGATAGCAGGGCAGTGAAGTCAATGACTATGAAGCTGGTAAGAACATTTAAATCCTGTCCCAAGAATCCAATTTCCCTAATAGATTTCCAAGGCAAGCTCTAAATAGAGAGTCTGTTTTTCAGCAACATTCATGCATCAGTGAAACTTTTTATTTTTGTAACCACAGAGGGCCCCGGTTGATACAAGGTTCCTTTGTGACTGAGCTCAGCATTGTGACGTTTTTGAGGGGAACCAGCCCTGAGTCTACTTGGACCACTGTGCTCCCTCCCCAGCCCACCCCTGAGATGTCCTCAAACACTCTGAGAAAACACATTTTGGAAGGAAGCATGTTGCTCAGCCCAGGGCCCAGTCCTGCATTTGGTATGACCCCGACGACACTCCAGAGTCGGAAATATAATTTCCAGTTGACTCCATGGGACGCTGTTTTCAAAAGGGCTGTCATTCTTGTCTGTTTATCACATATCTCTTCGTAATAGACTCTTCTTTTCTAGAAGTTTTATATTTTCCTCAGCATTTTGTGTTTTGGTAATTGACTTACAAGAATAGTTCTATAATATGAATCAACAATGAAAAACAAATTACCCCTGGCTGCATCCTTCCATTCCTTTTTCATCCCTAATGATGTTTTCTGTACAATGACTAACCCAGACTGACGTAATTTATCAATTGATCTTCACGCTGTACATTAGAAAATGCGTTCCGCAGGCCCAGCATGCAGCCTTCCACGTGCGCCACGTGGCTTTAGAAAACCTATTAGTGCAGCAGAAATATCTGAAGCCCAGACTTTTTGCTGAGAATATTAGAACCGGTGCTAATTACTTTATTAATCATAAGGTGAAACAGCAGTGCTGATGTCACCGCCGCCGTAAAATAAGTGCTTTTATGGCAAATGTAGTTAAAAAGAAATGACAGCTTGGATTTATAGTACTCAGCAGTTAAAAAACAAAGGAAATCATGCATAGCAGCAGTTTTCATTGTTTAGTTAAATGTTCATTAAATATGTACCACTAAAAGCCGTTTGTAACTAATTCCCTAGTGGGTCCATGTCGTAGGAAAATTTATTTTAAAATACAGATTAAAGCTTAAATTTGTTTTTATTTTATTTAAAAAAAAAAATATATAGTGTGTCAACATTTCATCTCCTGAGAGAAAGGAGTGAGAGATGCAAGCACCCCGAGGGGGGCGCTGGAAGCTGGAAGCTGGAGGTGACGATTGTGTCTGGGATCAGGTCGAGCCTGTTGGCATTTGCTATTCGAGGGCAGCAGAATCTGGAGTCGATGGTGGAGGCTAAAGCCCCAACGCAACCCCTGTCTGAAGGCAGGGAAACCACATCGACCAAGATCATCATTTAGGTGGTGTTTGTGTTTCCATTGTTAAAACATGTCTTTGGTTTGATGCTTAATATTTTGTTTCCTTAAAGTCACTATTGTCTATGAGTAAAAAAAATAATCTTGAGTTTCCACAAGTAAGCTTGGCTTTTGCACACCTAGCAATTAAACAAATCAACAAAAAAGAATTAGGAGTAGTTGCCCTGGATGCTTTTTTTAGCTCAGAGGTTAGCGCATCAGCCTGTGGACCAAAGAGTCGCAGGTTCTTGGATTCTGGTCAAAGGTACATACCTCGGTTGCAGTTCAGTCCCTGGCCCTGGTTGGGGTCATGTAGGAGGCAACCAGTCGATGTGTCTCTCTCACATCAATGTTTCTCTCTCTCTCTCTCTCTCTCTCTCTCTCTCTCTCTCTCTCTCTCTCCTTCTACTCTATCTGAAGATAAATGGAAAAATATCCTAGGGTGAGGATTAAAAAAAAAGAAATTAGGACCAGTCAATGTTTTACTTTCCATTATTGATTAAGGCTGTGTGTGTGTGTGTGTATGAGTTGGAAGGATGAAAATTGACATTTGTTAAGTACCGACTACATTCCACATGCTTCATACAGACTCAATACTGCAGACAGCTCTGTGTTTTGGATGGCATTATCCCGTGTTTATAGGACAAAACCTAGACTCAGTATTCTCTCCCTGAAAGTAACCCTGAGAGTGGCAGATCTGGAAATTTGGACTTGGAACTGCCAAATTCCAAAATCCATAATCTGTGCCCTACACCGGGATGTTTGCAACTGATACTAAATGAAATTATTGAATGCTAAGTGCCAGATGATTTCATAAGTGGAACGGTGAGGTATGTGTTCTTGTTCCATTTTTAAAGTTGCCCAAGGTCACACAGCTAGTAAGTGAATTGAAACCCAAGTTTGTTTACAGGAGTCAAAGGCTATTTCTATATGGTCTAAGGAATCTCCACCAAACAACTTCTTGCTCCAGGAATGTTCTCTCTGTATCAAATCCCTGTTGGCCAAAAGTTCAATTCTTTTTTTTTTTTTTTTTTTTGCTTTGCTTTTAAGCAATACAATAACTCACCATCATCCTTTAGGTAGTCTTATCTACACAACGTCAACTCTTCAAATTGTCCCTAAGTAAATTAATTCTAATTTGTGATTTTTTTTCTGGCGGTGGTATTACATGTTACTTCTGATCACCCAGAATTGACACAGAGAAACCAGAGAAAAGAGCTGCTTCATAAAGCAGAACATGCACCTTTTACGTCATAGCGGGCTAGTATTGCTTGAAACAGACCTTTGGAATTAAGGACTCAATTGGGGTGAAAAGCTGGCATTGAGGAGTCCTTCTGCCTGTCCTTGGTGGGCCCCCTGGCCTGGGAAGAAACCTGAGAGGTTCCCACATGAGAAGACGAGGGACGTTCTGACAAGCAGGTGGCCTTAGGAGCTGGTAGCAGATTGTAGGGTTTGGGGTCAGACTTCAGATGGGGTCAGAGGCGAAGCGGTCAAGACAGACGTATCATTAACACTGCGTACAGCGCAGGTCAGAATGAACCAGCACCAGATGCACATTTGCACAAGGATTGATCTTACACTCCTGAGCCCTCTGGGTCCTTAAAGTCCTTTTTGGACATGACAGGTTCCAGAGCTTGGGCTACATCGAAGCCGGTCCGGCTTATATAATTTCATTTTGCCAAATGAAAATGCAGGATCCATGTTAAAACAAACAAACAACAACAACAACAACAAACTGGGAAAGAATGCTGTTAAGGGTACTCAAATAGACAATTCTTTCCTTTCTTCTTGGTCTTTCTATTCTGTTGACTTTTTATTTGCTATTTAATGTCACATTCCCTTGGACATGGGCTACTTGCAAAGTCATTAAAAACTCTCCCTAGTGCCCGGGGACACTGGTACTTGGCAGTGTGGCCTGCCAGCTTCCAGGATCCCCTCCCACCAGCCACCATGGGGTCATAAAAACCAATCTCCTCTTCTTTCAGTACCGAAGTCCCAACTCACTGAGGACTGGCGTGCCCAGATGGACGGCAACCTCCTCACTGGGAAGTATTTGGTGCCTGGACTGGAGGCAGGCAAGAGGCTCACCCCTGCCAGGTTGTTCGTTGCCAGAATGGGGACAGCTGCCACCATGCTCTGCCCTGAGACATAAACCTGAACCTCCTAGTGTCCCAGCTCATGCCCAGGCCCCCATGGGAGCAGAGGTGGATGGCAGAATGAGGGCCTTGCACCCCTGTTCCCAGCCTAAGTGGCTTGGCTGCCCCCTTAGGCAGAAGGCAGCAGGGTGGGGAAGGCTGGTGGGGGTCAGGGCCCAGGAGGCAGCTCAGGGAGGCAGAGAGGTGGTGGGAGGTGGGACCGGAGTGTGGGCCCAGGTTCCCCATGCA